AGGGGTGTATGGGCAAGCCCTTGTGGGATGCCTGATAGACTTCCAAGCAGGGTGTTAGGCAGAAATCTATTCTGGGAGCTGGTGTGTGCTCATCTACAAACGGGGGAGTCATCAGCAGGTCGGAGTAGGTGCAGAAGGAGGCTGCCCTGAGAATCCAGGCAGGGCCTGGGGAAGGGCTAGCATTTGGCAGGTGGAGGAGGAGCATTCTGGAGGTAGGACAGCTGGACCAAGGGACGTGGAGAAGGGTGAGTGCCTGACGTCCTGTTGTGGGGTCACGGGGACATGACAACTGGTTTGGTGCCAGGGCCCCTGGAATGTGGGAGCAAAGGGCGTGTGGGGCTCTGTGCCCCCATGGTGTGTCTCAGGGAGAGCTAGGTCTTGGCTGTATGGAGGCCACTACCCTGTCTGCAGCCGGAGGAACCCTTGGTGTGGGCCTGCAAGAGAGCAGCACCTCCTGCCAAAATCCTCTCCTTGGGGAGTACCCTGGCAATCCTGCTGGCAGAAAGCGGTGGTGGCAGGAGAGGCGCAGGGTCCCTGGCACCACTGTACTCATTGGAGTGGCACGTGGGCAGAGGCCGCTGAAGGAGCCTACAGGAGGCTGAGGGAGTGATCCCCAGACCATCTCAGAGGGCAGAGGAAGACGCGGGGAGGGGGCTCTGGTGCCTGTGAACGTTTGGGTGCCATGGCCAGGTGTGGGAGGCCAGGTCGGGTCAGCAAGTGAAGCTCGGAGATCAGCAGTCCGTTCTTTACAGGATGCCTGTGAGTAGAGCCCTGCCCACCGCCCCCTTTGCCTGCCCAGGGCTCCCCGTGCCTCCCCAGCGCCCCCTCTAGGCCTGCCGGGCCAAGACTCTGCTCCCTGTGAGCCTGCCTGGGTGAGCCCTGTGGACTCCCAATTGCAAGAGGGCGCTCTTCTGCAGTAGGAGAGGAGCACAGTGTCCCGCTGCCCAGGGCAGCGCCTGTGCGAGGTGAGATCCCAGGAGGGCTGGGGAGCCAAATGGTCCGCCCTAAGGGGAAGTCTCAGGGATGCCTGGTGGGGCTCTGGCCGCCTCGGAGGCTCTCTATGGAAGCAAGGTTCTAAGGGCTGCTGCTTCTCCTACTGTAATGCAGAGTGCACAGGGGCAACTCCTGCAACTGCTACCTTGGCTCTGCAGGACAGAGCAAGTGACATGCCACCGCCTAGGGCTCTGTTGGTTTGGTGAAACAGAGGGAGGGATGAGGGAGGGGAGGGCGGAAGACAGTTGCCGCCCCCAGTTGGTGGAGCCTTCAGCCTGAGTGCAGTGGAGTCCCAAGGAGCTGAGGGAGCAGGACAGGATGAAGGCTGAGGAGCATGTGAGCCGCCCCAGTATGCGAGCCCTGGGCTGCTGGGCCTCCTGCTGCTATCCAGGAAGGGCCCTGTGAACTGAGTCCCACCAAGGGCAGGCGTGGCACAGCAACCCAATTAACAGGAGCATTGCAAAGTGAGCCCTTCTGGGGGAGGTCTCCTGGGCAGAGAGGCCAGGGTATGTGCTTGGGAGCCAGCCACCTGCAGATCGCACCCCACCCCAGCCTCTGAGCCGGGCCCACCTGGACAGTGGCTCAGCTTAGCAGCCCCTGCTTCCCAGGCTGTAGCTGGGGGTCCTGGAAGGTGGGGGAGTGGTGGGCACACTGTGCCACCAGAAGGAAAAGGCACAGGGATTCCTGGAACCTTGCCAGGGGGTGCCTCTTCAAGTGACGGGGCACCTGCACGTTCTGTTGACCTCTCGGGTCATGCAGAGTGCCAGGTGGCAGAGGAGCCAGGAGGGGCACGGGCTTGGCTGGGTCCCTCTCTGCATCGCCATGTCTGCCTGGGTGAGGCTTCATGAGCAGAAGAGGCTGTCCTTGAGACCACAGGATGTGTCACACATCTGGGAGCGCCCAGCCTGCACGGTCCAGCAGCCCTCACCCGATGACCAGGAGAATGGGACAGGGAACAGGGCACTCACAGCCCTGTCGTCCTCCCAGGCCATGGCGTCCCCCAGGATTGAGGCTGTCATCAGGGAGAGGTACAGGATGGGGGAGTGTCCCGTGTGGGAAGAGGAGACAGGCAGCTGGTGTATGTGGACATCAACGCCAGGACTGTGTGCCGGTGGAACCCAACTCTGGGGAGGTGTAGACCATAGGCCTGAGTAAGTGGACCTGGGGGCTGCAGATGGTGGGCCTGAGGAAGTGGGCCTGGGGCTACACACTGTGGGCCACAGTAAGTATGGGTCTGGGGGCTGGAGACGTTGGGCCAGAGTAAGTGGGCCTGAGGGATGCAGACAGTGGGCCTGAGGAAGTAGGTCTGGGACCAGCAGACAGTGGACCTGGAGAAGTGGGTCTGGGGGCTGCAGACTGTGGGTCAGAGGAAGTGGGCCTGAGGGCTGCAGAGGGTGGGTCTGAGGAAGTGGGCCTGGGGGCTGCAGATGGTGGGTCAGAAGTAGGCCTGAGGGCTGCAGACGGTGGGCCTGAGGAAGTGGGTCTGGGGGCTGCAGACGGTGGGCCAGAGGAAGTGGGTCTGGGGGCTGCAGACGG